TATTATCATGCAAAAGTTTGGGCACCCCTGGTCAAATTACATGTTTTGTTGATTTTTGTAAGTGAAAATAAGTGAACACATCCTCTACAGAGAACATATTTGAATATGGCATTTTTTTTTTTGGCAAATTTTGGTTGTTGAGTTTAACATACTGGAAAAGAAACAATATACAAAAGGTGCCATAACTTTTGCACAGGCCACGTTTTATATTTTCTTTTTTCCCAATATGTTAAATTCAGCAAGTAAATAGTAATTGTGCACTAAAATGTGCATCAGTGTGTTCTCTGTAGAGGACATGTTAACTTATTTTCACTTAGAACATCAACAGACTTTTGCATACAACTGTGAATGGCAGATGTTGGTGTGATACAGCACAAAAATAAAGCCTAAAATTAATAATAATCATAATGAAAAAGAGTCTCTTTCACAATTCAAGGTCATTTTCACCGTGGTTTTCTCACAGTGTCTATTACGGAAACTGTAAAAGGACACTTTGATAATAAAAGCTTTAATTTCAGAAATGTATTTAACTGATCTCTTTGGAGCAAAGCTGCTGCCAAGAGAGATGATCTTCAATCATATTCCTTCTGATAACACTCCATCATCAAAATAGCTTGAGGGAAACGGGCTTCATCGCTGGGAATTATACAAACTCAGTTTAATGAAAGGTAAACCGGAGAGAATCTCACATTCCTTTTGGGAAGCAAATGTCAAAACCACAGTTGTTTGATTCATGCAATTGACATAACTCAAAAAATATAAAGCTACATATCATTTACTTGTGCTGCATTCACAGCATTTAAGCTATATAAAGCTCAAAATGATAAAGATATATTAGTGCTCAATTCATTATCTGGTACATAATGGCAGTTTTGACTGGAAATAAAATGAATGAAGGGTGGTCTCTGACTTTTGCTCTGTATGTTAACTCAGTATTATTTAAATGGTTTGCTTTGGTCAGAATATTACATGTGTGTAACTCCACCTGCTGCATCTTCTTTTACACTGCAAAGTGTATCTTTCAATGGAGAGTGAAGTTATACAGTAAATTCATCAGACCACATCACCATCACTAAACACACATAAATACATGTAGGGAAAGTATGTAGGATCGAGCTGTAAGCCAAGGCTGACTGAGAGCAGAGTCTGGAATGCTCGCCTGGTGTTTCCAGTGTTGGTCTCCTGCTGTGTTACATGGCCTCAGCCCCTTTTGTGCTGCATTAACCCGTTAAATCCCACCAAAGTGGCTATTCTGTGGAGTGCCATCTACCCCAGGGCTTATTGTGACTGGCCTTTGTTCGGAACAATAGACGTAAAGGAGTTAGGACACCAATAGCACTTCCCAACTTCCCCTCACCCTTTTCTCACTTTCTGTACTCTTCTGGAGCGAATGTTCCAGGTCAATGATCCCCCTGCTCTCTTTACACATTCACCAAGTCATAATATCAGCTTTCGCTTCTAAATCACAATAAAATGTTTATTGATTCACTCATTTAATAATAATAATAATAATAATAATAATAATAATAATATTTACATATATTATACATTAAGAATTAACATCAATTTAATTGGTTACTTTTTAAATAATATTTATAAGTAATAAAAATAACATTAATAATAATGCTAATGATAACATTAATATTAATGCTAATATTTATCATAATAATAATAATCACCATCATCATCATCATCATCATTTCATTTATGTTACATTGAATCTGCATTCTCTGTTATAATAATAATAATAATAATAATAATAATAATAATAACAGATAATAATAATACTTCTTCTTCTTCTTCTTCTTCTTATTATTATTATTATTATTATTAACAATAATAATAACAGAATATATTTTATGTTGCCTAAATAAGATCCTAATAATAATAATAGCAATAACTAGTACTACTGATAATGAAACAAATATTAATTTCATTAAAATATATTCACATTGATAGTTATGTTTATATAAGTAAAAATAATAAAGCATAATAATAATAATAATAATAATAATAGTTATAAAAATACTAATAACAATAATAATAATAATAATAATAATAATATAATAATTATTATTATTATTTTTAGTAGTAGTAGTAGTATTGTTGTTATTATTATTATTATTATTATTATTATTATTATGTGGAGATAAACATCCTATTGTCCCTTTTCAGCACTGTAACCTTTGCATCACTGAGTCTCCACCTAAAGAAACTCCATATCAAGTTCTCAGCTTCTGATTGGTCTGCAACATCTCTGGTTCCTCCCTGGCCCACCTCCTTAATATCACCTGCACCTGTTTCTCCTTTATGCGCTCATAAAGAGACACATTGATAGTCTATGGTTTTCTGCAGCACTTTGCAGCAAGTCCTGCTGCTGTAATGAGCTTTTCTGAACCTTATCCCGTATCCTCCTCCTGGTTACCATTGTCTGCCTGTTGATAAGTCCATGATTATGGATTTGCCCATGTTAAACCACTCTATCTGTGTTCTTACACATTCTACATGCTCTGGCACCTGTTCTCAAAAAACTCCCAATAAACTCACTTATCACTTGCAGCCTACCTGCATAATACCACTTGATAGAGAAAATGGCATGTGGTGGAGGTGATAACATGGAAACAAAAACTGTAAATGAAAGCCTGCAGAAGTGCAAATCTCAATTTTGCTCTATGTATATCCAGATAAACGTCACTCAGCCCTCTACCAGCTGCTCTAGTTCATTCAGCACTTCAAAAACCCTGGAAGTCAAACTCTGAATTAAAAAAACAAAAACTGGAGCTTCATGTTAAGCACTAAACGACTATTTTACTGTGTTAATGATTTTAATCTGCCATTTTGTCTCAGTGACTGACAAACAGTGTCTTGTTCTTGCATATATAGGAGCAGGTGAAGTGAGCCAAAGAGTTTCCCACGCTCCATCAGTACCGTGGTCATGCTCTGCCCCTTTGGCCTGCCCAGCCATCTGTCTGAATCTTAGTGTCTGTCTGGAGGAGCAAGTGTCAGCTGCAGCCAGCATTCTTATAGTGAACCCACTGGGACGAGATTCACCAGCACTGCAAGATCACTCACAGTTCACTCAGTTCACAATTTGTGAAATTGCTGCACTTTATTCAGAAGCAGAGGATCTTAATTATGCCGTACTTTAGTTAAACTTTAAATGTATATAAATATTACAACAGCTTGCAGTCATGTCACTGAGACACTGGTTTCCTTCTATCTGTGCCTTCACGCTTTTTTACCTTTTTACATATCATTGACATCAGATCAAAAGCTCGTACCTTCTTTATTTCCTTTGAAATCTATTGCTCGTTTCATACCTTTTCATTGTATTAAAGTCTCATATATTTATATGTCAAATTTGGTTAAAAAGTACCTTGAAATGAGTCTTGTTTCTTTAATATTAATTAAAAGTTAAGAACTTGTTTCTTTCTTCTGAAAAGCATTTGGTAGATACAAAGTTTTATTCTGACAGCAATCATATTTATATTTATATATGTGTGTGTGTTTTCCTTGTTAAAGAAGAGAGGTTTTAATAGATTTCTTATTTGTGTTTGGCACCCTGGGCAAGTTTCACATTTTGCTGATTTTATAAATAAAAATGAGTTAATAGATCCTCTACAGAGAACAGACTTAAATATGACATTATTCTGAAACTTTTCATGCACAATTTCTATTTATTGCTGAACTTACTTGTGAACAAATGTAACAGTAAATATGAAATATGCCGTAACTTTTGCACAGGCCACATTTTATGTCCTCAGTCTCTCCCAGCCTTGGTCTAGGCTGTAAAATAATATTATGTAAAACAACTGCTTTGGTTAATTAAGAATCAATATAATCTGCAAAGCTTTAACAAGGGCATCGTCCACAGTCCTCCAATAAACACTGGCTAAAAGCCATTTAAAGAAATATTGTGGTTTTTGCAAGGTACTTTTTATATTATACTGTGTTAAATATTGTTCACATCCTAAAATTATATATATATATATAATTGTGTGTGTGTTTGTGTGTGTGTGTGTGTGTGTGTGAGTATTGTATATATATATATATATACAATTTTAGTAGTATAGTATACAGACAAATGTATAGAAATATACCTACAAAAATGCACAATGTGCTGTTTTTATTACATGTTTTGAGTGCAGTTTAAAATGATCTCAGAATAATATAAATGAGATACAAATGCACATAAAAAAGCAATTTGTTTAACAGTCAGGAAAATAATGTGTATACATTTGAATGATTTGCATGAAAGACTAAAAAAAATAAATTACATAAAGCGAGATACAAAAAAATGAGATACAAAGGAGACAGTATGCACCACCACCTCTAACACTTCACCTTTAAAGAATCCTATGTCTAAAGAATCTCTGGACAGCAGATTTTAGCTCATTACAAACCACAAAACACTCACAGGAACAAGGATGCAAAAAAGCCAAATATATGATACATACTACATTAAGAAATGGTGAACTAGTGGAACAGAAAGTAGAAGCATATCACCTGACCATGGAACTTACCTTAGTCATTTCTGTCCTATATAAATATATCATTGCTGTCAGAACAAAACCTTGTATCTCCAAAAAAGTAACTTTACAGCAGAGGAAATAAATAGTATTTACTTTTAATATAAGATTTAATTCCGAGTCATTTTGGGTCATTTCTATTGCTCCATTTTCACAGGGTGTAAAAGTCCGCTGCCTTTTTCAAATTCTGTACAAAATAAAAAACAACAAATTTTGAAAAAAAAGATGAAATAATATATAAATGACTAAGGTAAGTGACACAGTCATGTGACACGCTCCTCCTGTCTGTCCCACTGTTTGTCCTCCACCATGAGCCCTGCTTGTCGAAGTGAAATCCCCTGCACTGCCTTCCCTCAGAGTGTGTGACACTGCCCGGCTGAGAGCATGAGAAAGAAGCCCCCTCAATAGCAGAACCCTCATACTTGGCTAGTAACCATGGCAGCAGCTGCCCGCTCTCCCTGCCCTGCTTACCTCTGGACGGCCGCGGGTCGCTCCCTCACTGAAAAGGGGCCACGCCTCACTTTCTTCCTGCTGACCGAACTTGCCTTTCCCTCAAAGGGGCCGATGCGGGGGGTCACTCAGTGGTCTAGACCTGCTCGGCCGGTCCATGGAGCGGAGCAGCCCTGGGGGTAACCCCCTGCTCTCTGAACGCAGCACCAGCGCAGACTGCAGGGGGGAACATCAGAGACGAGGATTTGAGAAAAAGCGGCCTCGTCCAATTTGGCCATTGTGCCTGTTCACTTCATCGATCGGGTGAATATATCGAACCTCCTGCCGGTGCATGTGTGAAATGGATAGCTTAGCAAGCATTTTTTTTAATCAAGCTCAGGGTTGTGGGCCAACTCTCTCTCTCTCTCTCTCTCTCTCTTTATTTCTCTTACTTAACTGCCACTCTCTCTCTCCCTCTCTCTCTCTGTCTCATTCTCCCTGTCTCCCTTTCTCGCTCATCCTCACTACCTTTCCCTCGCGCTCTTCCTTCTGGTCGCTGATGGTGCATCTGGATAAGCATGCTGAATTTCTTCAAAGCTGCAATATTGAGTTTATCTTCAGCTCTGCTTTTGATATGATTTAATGTCATATATCTTACATTCAAATGCATTTCTTTATTATTATTATTATTTTTTGTATAATGTAACATTTTCTATTTTTTCAGTTTGGATGAACTGCTGAAGGAAATTTAACCAAGAGAAGGTTCAGCTGATTAAATCAAAATTACTGGACATATTTTTGTAGTATGAAGGCTTGTTTTGTTAAAATGAGGTATTTATAATTTTATAATTATGGGAAATGCATGTTTATTTTCATTGTTTGGTCACCTAATGCACTTTCATGAGGTGAGTCTTTTGTTTATTGTTTTATTTATCAGATTTACAGCATTCTTTGATCTTTCTGTAATTATTCTGTAATTATTCTGTAATTAATCTGTAATTAATCTGCAATTTATATTTACTATAAATATTACATGTACAACATTATTCAGATGCCATCTTTGCCTAACAAATGTTGCATATGAATTACATATTAATTACATATAGATTTTAGTGCCTGTAATAAATCTGTATTATTATTATAGTAATTGTATTTTTGCTCTGCTGTCATTCCTTCGTATTTTTATCTATTTATTAATAGTATTTGTAATGCTGTAATGCTGTACGTGAGCTGATAACGTGTGCACAATCCTGAAATTGGCTTTCATTCTTGAAGCTCAGTGGAAATACCCTCATTGGCTCTGTGTGTGTTTTTTTCCTTCTACACTGTTGCCATGCAAAATTTAGCAGAGTGAAGAACAGAAAGTGTCCATGCTAGAAGATAACTAGACTAATTTGCTGCATGGATTATTGACTAATTGTAGTCAGGGATTAAAACTTCAGTTAAAACAGGGATTAACGGCTTGTAATTCCTTCACATATTTACATAACTAAGACAATTCCACGTGATGCCTGATTGAAAACTTGAATTTGATACAAAACAGAGTTCTACTCTTGAATGCACAGCCGGCTGCACAGTATGGATTATATCAATTGATACTGTTATAGAAGAGTAATGCAGATTTAATACAAAAAGGTTCAGTGCATGAACATGTTTCATGTGCATGTGCTTGTATATATCATTGCTGATCATAACATCATATAAGGGGGTTTGGATGCATGTCAGTATGTGGGATTTTTTTCAATACCACTAATTTTGTGAATATTACCACTGTAATCTGCATGATAAACCCAAACACAAACAAATATTTTCTTCATATATATGCAATAGCTTCTTAATCTGAACATTCACATGCATTTAATTGTTACATACAGTGTATAGGTGTGTGTATATATATATATATATATATATATATATATATATATACACAAACTTATTGCTGTTGTCGGAAGAAAACCTCGTATCTCCATTTTTGACGTTTTTCAGTTTTTGGCATCATTTGAAAATATCTGTTACCCTTTTCATTGTATGTAAATTTCATGATGAATGGACTAAAAGAAATAACCCAGAATGAGTTGGAAAAAAGTCTGGTTCCATTGACTTACATTAAAAGTAAAGTAGGTTTTTTTCTTCTCCTGTAAAGTTACCATTTTGGAGATACAAGGTTTTCTTCGAACAACAGCGATATATATGTGTATGTATGCTGCTGCTGTTGGAACAAAACCTTGTATCTCAATTTTTGTCATTTTTCAGTTTTTGACATAATTTGAAAGAACCCATTGCCCTTTACATTGCATTTAAATTTCATGATGAATGGACCAAAAGAAATGACCCAAAATTAATTCCCAAATGTCTGGTTCCATTGACTTACACTGAAAGTATGTTTTATTGATTTTATGAGTGAAAGTAAGTTAAGATCCTCTACAGTGACATTTCAGTGCATAATTACTGTTTATTTGTTCAATTTAACAAATTGAGGGAAAACAAAGAAACATAAAATGTGGTCTGTGCAAAAGTTCTCATACATTCTGTATTTTCTTTTATATTTTCCAATATATTACACTCACTAAATAAATAAAAATGGCCCACTACAATTTGCTGGAAAATGTCTTATTTATTATTTATAAACATATTTTAACTTGAAAAATCAAGCTAAACTATATAAACAATTTAATTTAAATAATTTGAGCAGGGGTGTTCAAAGTTTTGCACGACTCCAGCTCTCTATTGTCCAGTGGAACCTCTCCTCTGAATATTTTACGCCTAAATATCTTCATTTCCATGTCTAGCCCTCTTATTCTACAGTGTCTTCAATGCCCTAAACTGACCTTCCAGATTTAGGTAGCTTGTGGGCATTTTTTGAGGGAGACGTCTGATTGGTCCAGACAGTCACAGAGGAAAACGAAGCATCAGCACTCAGCCAGCAGGCCACAGGCAGAGACGAGAGCAGACAGACATGCAAGTGCAGTGTTTGCGTGTAGCCTGGATACAGCAGCCAGTCACCATCTGTCTGACTTTCTCCTGACTGACAAATACAGCATTCAAATGCACAGGACATTTTGTTAAAAGGTTTTGTGCCTGTCACACTTATTAAACATTTCTACTGTATTTTTTTACGCAGCCTGTAAATATCTAGGCCTATATGTTTGCCTTAGATTATGAATGCTTAAAGCAATGATATGAAAAAGGCAATCAGACAACACAAAGGTGTTAGAACAGTAGTGGCGTTACTAAAATCTCTAAAAGACGAGCTTCGCTCTTTTTGTCTTTCTAGTGTTGTCATAGAAATTATTACTTTTGTTTTGTGTCTTTATGATGCACCCATATCATAATACAGCCCAAATAAGTTCTGATGCACAGCTGTGTGTAAATGTTTGGGCACCCCTGAGGGCTATTCCACAAAGCAAGATTTCTCTGTTAGCCAGATAACTTAAGCCCAAAGATGAGGACTGACCAATGAGAATGTCCCTCAGCTCTTTTCCTAATGGACAGGCTTAACTTTGGGCTTAAGTTATCTAGCTAAACAGAGAAATCCTGCTTTGTGGAATACGTTTTGTTGATTTTATAAGCAGACAAAAATAATAAAACATAACATGAGGCCTGTGCAAAAGTTATGGCACATTTTAAATTTTATGTTTAATTTTTTTCTAATATGTTAAACTCAGATAAGGGTCATATTAGAGGATGTGTTAACATATTTTCACTTAGAAAATCATTATATGCATTATATTTTCACTTAGAAAATCATTATATGCAGAATAATGCAGATTTAATACATAAACATTCAGTGCATGAACATGTTTCACTTGTATATATCATTGCTGATCATAACATCGCATAAGGGGGTTTGGATACATGTCAGTTTTACATATACCTGATCATACTTAAAAGAACCTTTGCTTGAAAATGCAACACAAATCCATGAATTTAATGTGTCTTAATCAGTCTTACTTCTTTATGAGAATATGTTCAGTAAGCTAATGTAACAAGATTTTATTCCAAGTATTTTTGAAGCATTTCTATTGGTCCTTTAGTCATGAATTTTTCAGTGTAAATCACAGCTGCTGTTATCAAATGATAGAACAATTTTCCAACAAAATTGGGAAAACTCTGTGTTTTTTGTCATTATATCATCTGAAAATGCCCACTGCCCTTCTGAACATTTTATAATAAATGGACCGACAGAAATGGTCCACATTGGAATAAAATCACATTACATTAACAGATGTTAAGTTAAGAACATTTTCCTTCTCCTATAATGTTATAGAGTTTTCTTCTGACAGGGATGATGTATTATCAGACAAATCGAGACTGCAGCACAGACAACAATAACGCGTCAGCATGAAGAGTGCAGACAATGTGACCCAGCTAATGACTTTGACCGCACGGGCTAGAAATGCACTCTGATGTAATGGACATAAACTTTTTAAAGCTATTGTAGTGTTTCTGACTCTGTGACAGGAATCAAATATGTTCTCAAGCTTTGCCCAAATGTGTGACTCATAGTAGACAGTACAGCCAGGAGCAGTTGTGATTTTCTTGTGGGCCGACGGTCGAGTCCACCCTATGCATTATTTATGGGGCCATCAGCGCATCAGGCTTTGCTGTAGGGGCCAGACAGAGCCCGGCCTGAGGAATGATAACGCAGTCTGTCGGCCTGCACAGCCACTGTCACAGCGGCACAACAATAGATCACCTCTTATTCTGAGGCTCTCTCGCCCTTACTTTTCTGTCTCTCCTTGTCTGTCTCTCATATACTCACCACACAGATATGAGTAACCAGCTAACAACTATCTTAACACAAAAACTATAAACACTCAGAATATTTCCAAACGCCAACATGATTTCTTGGCCAAATTAATGTTAAATGTAGTAAATATATAGTACTGTACTGAGGCCCTTCAAAAACTGATCAAATGATTGAGAGAAAACGAGACTCGTAACAGCTGTACAAGACCTGGTAGACCACCAAAACTGCTAAGACCTCCTAAACAGCACTTAAAGCTTCCATCTTTGAGAGAGAGAAGAAAATCAAGCTCCACTATTGATTCAGATCTGAACAAATCCACAGGTGTTTCTGTCCATCTTTCCACTGTGAGAAGACAACTCAGCATTATGGGTCTGAAAGGATGTGTAGCTGTTAAAAAGCCTCACCCAGAAAAGGAAACAGACAAAAAAGAACATTTGCAAATCAAACAAAGAAGCTGCTGAAGTTCTCACAACAATGAACTGACCAC